GGTTTACCAACAACGAATCTTACGGCATCAACAGTAATGATCTGAGAGAAATCCATGTATTTATATCGCCCAAAATTCTGTGTAACTGGCACGATGATGTCAATTGACTAAACAATATAAATAGACAGTGAAAAAAGGTATAATCTAAGCGATGCTATAATGTAATAATATATATTTCTTACTTTATTTCTGAAAAGATACTCAATATCTCTCTTATTTCCCCTTTTAATTTGATAACTGTAATAAAAATGTCTACTATAAAGTAAGGAAATGGAAATTTATAAAATTATTCATATTTTAAATAATATATATTTTATTTTCTAGGATTTAGATCGAATATCTTACTTAAATCCGAGATATTCGACAAGAACGAGAACGACTCTTGACAGAAATCCCTTATCTAAAAACTTTTCTTTTGTTTCATCCAAATAAACAGCTCCGGGAATCTTTCAATAAAATAAAATAAAATTGTAATAGGATGTTAAATAATAAGAGTTTTTCTTACAAGACAGTAAACTTGTGTAAACCGAACGGTATCCAGTATTTATTCAGTTTTCAGTTCCGTATTGAGCGTTTTATTGTATTCTATTTTTACAATCTAATTAGTTATACATAAGAATAAAAATTTTAAAGAACGGCAATATCATTAACACAGACTTTTTTAGCAAACCACATAAGATTTAGCGTTTATATTATCAATGTATATCACAAATAAATTATTTTTTAAATTAAGAAATAAATTTATAAAGATTTGAAATTAATTATTTCGCTAAAACAAAATGCAGAACATAAGTAACAGGCCCATATCATTACCTCAATAGCAAAAATCGAAAGGGTTGTATTCACCAGAGCATTCTTCATTCTATAAATAAGATAACTTATAAACATTTCTATAAATTTTTATTAAATTAAACTTTATGTTTTTGCAGGAAGATATCTGTAATGATTGTATCGGAAGATCATATATGATCGGCATCTTCTGCACTTAATCTTTTCATGTCTAGTTTTGAATTTCACTTATCTAACACACTATTATCGAGATTAGGAAAAACATACGGACAGACAAACGTCAGTTATAATTTACAGTTTTTTTCATAGGTTTCTACATCTTAAAAGCAATATTTAAAAAATAAAAACTACGTTTAAAATAGTTTGATCTCAAAACTAGCCGATAAAAGAAACTACTTTACGTTATAAATACGTATATAAATTTAATTTTATAAAATAAAATTAAAAATAATCAAAACTTTTTAAACTTTGTAAAAACTCTTATTAAAAAATAATTATTAAACTGAGATAATAATTTTTATACCTTAATTACCAATGGAAAACACCTCTTTGCAATTCGACTGCAACCTTTCTTCTGTGTAAGAATTTATGACGATAGTTATTGATCTGTGAACTTAAAAAAGTTGTCGTGCAAATCGGTCGTTGTAGCTTTGAATATCAATCATAGTAATGGAAATTTAATGCACTTTAGGTTAACTTTACATCTGCTGCATACATTTTATCAGATCAATAAAAAAATAACAGTTTTATAAACAAAATATTGAATTTAATAGAATATAGTTTTAAACTTAATATTATAGGGGAAAAAATGTTAGTAAACGAATATGGTTAAAGTTTTCGTGATTTTGTTTACATTGTGAGAAAGCATTCATTGCTGTATTTTTAAATTTATGTTTATTGCAAATATAACGTTCAATGTAATATTCATAACTGTAATTATTGAACCTTGTGTAGACAGCTTTATGTAACTTTATCATTGTCCTATCGTTAATATAGTTATTGAATTGTTTATTGTGATATCGTCACATTGTCGGCTGCAATTTTCAATAGTCTTTTGATTTTAAAAATATATAACGTGATTTCCAGTCCAGATCGAAAGTCACGTGAGATTTTTCGAATAAGTAACTATATACGAACTTTATACCATTTAGTCAATAGGGCTTCCAGCTTTTAAACTTTTCATTTGTCGTCTCGATTTCTATTTATCTCACTACATTCTTTAGAGTAACAAAGGAAAGATTGTGGAATTTGAAAATTTCAGCCCAGCAAGAACGATATTGTTGTCATTTGTTTTGAGTGCTTTTGTATAATTTTTTCGGAAGTTATAAATTAAAATTTATAGGGAAATGCCGTTTTTAGACATTTGTTTAATAGTAAAATTAAAGTAACAGTAAAATCACACAGTGTAAGTTATATATCGACCGAGTGGTGCTGATATTTTAAGAGCGATGCAATAAATCACGTTGCATGTCACGTCCAAGAGTATATACAATTTTTTTATTATAGACATCAACACGCACCCGCATTTAAATTAGAAGTTCTACTTTAAACTTTGTACTGACCACAAAGTGTTTTTACTGTCTCTCACTGTTTGTTATATTCTACAAACACATGACTTTTAACGATTTTGGGCGATAGAATATGCATAAAGTATAGGCTGAAAAATACGTACTGTATGTATTTGGTTTTGCCTCGTGTTACGAAAAAAGTCTATCTCTCCTGTACTATTTGTACAGTTGGATCAGAAATAATTCAGGAGAGACCAACCACAAACGAAATTCAACGTCTATGAAAATTTTTCATAGAACCTTTCACTATTTACGTAAATAGTCTATTAAATGTGTATTGAAGAAACAAACAAACCTTGCAATTTAAAAAACAAAACTGTGGAAACAAAACAATCTTCAGATTAGGAAAACGAAAGCCAACGTTTACAAGAACGTGATAATGTTTCATCACGAGTGAGAACGAAAATGAATCTTTAGGATGCGGAGAATACTACATTAAAATTTTAAATTGCTTTGTTTTCATTCTCATTTATGTGGTATATTTTATTTCAAATGCTTTAGAATATGTACACTTTTATTTTACGTGGACAAATGACAAATAGTGACAAAATATATCGTTTTCTAAAAAATTTAGTAACAACGCAACGAATCCCGCAAAGTATAAATAATGTATTTTAAAACATGTATGAAAATTTTGCTTTCAAATATGAAAGTTATTTTCAGAAACTTTTAAAGATGCAAAGCAAACATGAGATAATTTTTTAAAATAAAATTGTGTAAATACCAAATAAAACGCAAATGGCTTCCATACACAGTCGCATAATAAGTAGCAATAAAATAAAGATTGTTAGAAAAGAATTTCGTCGAAGATTCAACAAGAAACTTACCTTACCGAATTAAGATTTTTTTGTACAGACAGTTTTTAATTGCATGCTGTTTGTGCATAGAAAAAGTGGGAATACGTTCTGTGGTTCAGATGATAATGTCGAAACATTCAGATTCTTCTTCGCAGGAGTTCACGATAGCTTTTAAGAATGTCTAATCGAGAGTTATATAGGCTAAAATTAGCAATGACTTTGACAAAGCACCTTACAAGCACTAGTTGCTGCAAGCTTTACACCTCGCTAACAAAACACAAAAATAAAAGTTTTTACAAAGATGCAAATGGATGACGAAACTTTCACTCACTGAAATATGTTCAGCGATCAGAATCTCTGCACATTAATCAATAGATGAATCGTCATTAAGTGCATACCCGAGACGGAAAACATCCATGTGCTTTATTGAAAACGAGCAGGATTTACTGAGGATGAATGCGTCATGCTAGACTTTCAATATCTAGAGCCCGATCATTGCCGAAAACGTGGCCTGTTTGAGCAGGACTATTACCTTGCTTTGGTCTGTTCTAAAAGTAATCTATATCTGCTCTAAGAGCAATCTGTATCTACTCTAAGAGCAATATTTTCTTAGTTTATAGAAAGTTTATTTTTTTCTGGTTTTCGGCATTTGATGGTGTCTTCACAAAAAATTTATATATTTACGTATATAATTAGTGCTCTTGGTATATATTAGTGCTCTCCACTGCACTGAGTGGCAAACAGTGCAGTGGAGAGCACTGTTTGCCACTCAGTGCTCTCCACTGAGTGGCAAACTTGGTATATATCAATGCAAACATTGATATATACCAAGAAATTATTCTGACTGTCAGGAAACCAGCAACATCAATACCATTTTAAAAAATCGAAGTTTATTTTTCTCTGGTTTTTGGCAGTTGATGGTGTCTCCACAAAAAATTTATATATTTACGTAAAATTTCTTGGTATATTTTTGTTGTCGTCACTGTCAAAAAACTAGCGACATCAATATTATTAAATTTTCCATAGAAAATATAAAGCCTGAATGGGGATGGGCTAGCATTCATAATCCTCTTCAGAAAAATTTGTGTCGAAAGTGCATCTATGCCTATGTGTTTGCAAAGAGTGAATCAATGAGCATTTTTTTGTTTCAAGTTAAGGGCCATTGGATGTCTTTATCTCAGTTGAAACAGACCTGTTTCCTAATATTTATCCAATCAATCAGCGATATACAAAAGACGACTTTTTTTTATATTCTCGAAATGTTCACCATGTATACCGTAATTTACCTGGGTTAACGTATTATACCTTACACCAAGTTTATTAAGTTAGATAACGACGTTTAAACACACAAGTAAAAATTTTCTGATATGAAAGACACTTAATTCTCTAGTTGTTCTCTAATAATCACATCAGTCGTTTGAAACATAGTCGAAGTTCTTCTAGTTATTCTTAAAGTAAATTACAGGATTATTGCTACACAAATTGAATTCTATAAAAATATATTTGTTCCATTATAGCTAGTTGATTTTCACAAATATAAGTACTGTACAGTACATAAAATGTTTATAGACAATTCGATCATTAAACAAAACCAAGAAGTCTAACTTTTCAAATTTTGTTTCGAACAAAAAGCATTTAATCATAATTGTACAGTAGTTTTTCAAATAATTATTAAAATACATTAATTTATATATAAAAACTTTTGCTGTGTTTTTATTAAAAATATACAGTAATCGAAAATTGTTTTACTAAAAATTTAATTTTTATTAGGTTATGAAGTCTGAAAATGTTAATAAATTTCAATATCTTTTTAAATTCACATCGTTTAAAAGTTAAATATCTAAAATTAATTAGATTGATGGAATTGTCCTTTGTGTTCGTTTAAAGTAATTTCGTCAAAAAATTGCTGTCCACAATATTGACATTCGAAATCAGTTTTATCAGTGTCCATCTCTGAGAAGAATTTCAGTTGTGAAGATGTTACGAACTTTTTAATTTCTAAATTGATGTTAAAATTTTTAAGAAATTCTTCGGCTTCTCTTGGTGTGAAAATACTTTCTGGTAAAGCTTCTGCAGATTCAATTGATTCTTTTGCTTGAGAACTGGTTGATGGCGTTTGAAAATAATCTGACAGCATTTCATGGCTAAGTTGTGGGCTTTTCTGAAAGTAAATGTCATAAATATAACGATGGAATTCAATTATGTTAATGTAACTGAACTATCGAGTAAATTAATATTATTTATTCACTGCAACATATAACAATTAGCCTACTTGAAGAACGTAGAATGAAGTGCTTTATACATTGTTTTTAGCCACTATTTGTTGTTTTTATTTTAATCTTTGTATGTTTTATCTCTTTTCTTTGTATTTATTTTTTTTTTATTTTAACAAGCCATAATTATTATTTTACATTTATGCCCCATTTAGAAAACTGACGCTACTATTTAGGCAAACTAGGCAACCGACTGAGGCGCAAACCGTTATGAGACACTATATGTTAAAATATATTTTATTCACACTTCAGTAAACTATTAAATTAAATAGTGATATATGATTTAGGTATCGATTCCTTGTTTTCACACATCACACAATTTTACTATTTATCTATCGGTTTTTTGTTTGTTCTTTATCTAAATCATTTAAACAGACTACTGTTTAAAATTTAACTAGGATAAATATTTTAAAACCTTAGACATTTGAAAATATTAAATTTCAGTATTCTTTTGTAAATGAATCATAAAAAGAATTTACAAAATCTTTGAAAAAAAAATCAAAAAAGGCCCTGTTTATACAAAAATTACAAATTTTATATTACTTAGTACAGTATATAAATATATATATACATATATACATATGTATATNTGTACCTGTTGTTTTCTCCTGTAGAGATGTGATACCACACACACTACACAAAAGCCTGGGAACATTACAATTGAATAGAAATTTATACATAACACTACAGTATATACTGTAGTGTTATGTATGTATTTCTATTCAATTGTAATGTTCCCAGGCTTTTGTGTAGTGTGTGTGGTATCACATCTCTACAGGAGAAAACAACAGGTACAATAATCACCCTATCTATCCTCCACAGATGCCTTACTTCCTGGGTGAGTTCTGTGTACTTGCTAATTTTTTCAGTGCGTGTTTTGTACATTGTGAGTGATTGGAATGGCTATGTCTATAATGTATGTGATTTTATTGTGTTTGTCAATGAGTGTGATGTCTGGTCTGTTGTGATATATTGTTTCATCTGTAAGTATGGCTCTGTCTTACTACATTTTGTGCGTGTTGTTTTCCAATATTGTCTGTGGAATGTATTTGTAGTATGATTCGTGGATGTCTAACAAGTTGTGTTTCTTTGCAAGCTCTTGGTGTATTATATTTGCCACTTTATTATTTCTGTGTAAATAATATGTCTGTGCCAAGAGCTTGAACCCAGATGTAATGTGTTGTATAGTTTCTGGCATGATGTGACATTTTCTGCATGTGTCACTTGTGAATGTTGTATCTTTGAGTATGTGTTTTCTGTAGTTTTTAGTATTTATGACCTGATCCTGTATGGCAATCATGAATTCTTCCGTCTCCTCAAAAAGGCATCCCCGATCTAACCAGCTGTTTCACGCAGTTTTGTCAACAAAATCCTGGGCCAGGTCGTAAGGATGCCTGCCATGGAGAGCCTTTTGAGCCCATGATTGCTTAATGTTGTCTATGCTTTTTATATGTTGTGTCATGTCTGTATGTTGTGAGTGTAAGTTTAATGGTGTGTTATTTGAGTCTGCTAGAGTTACTGCTTTATGTAACTGTGATGTTTCTTGTTTCTTGTAGAAAAACTCTCGCAGTGACTGTATTTGTTTGTAGTGAAGGTTAACTATGTCAATCAGGCCACGTCCGCCTTCTTTACGTGGAAGGGTTAATCTTTCTGTGGCGGATTTAGGATGATGTTGTTTATGCTTAGTAAGTGTTGTTCTTGTTTTCCTTTGGAGTTGCTCGAGATCTGTGTGAGTCCAATGTATAACTCCAAAAAAGTATGTGAGTACTGGGATGACATATGTGTTTATTTCTTTAACTGTGTTATTATTATTATTATTATCATTATAAACTCGTCTCGATTATATATGTAGATGAAGTTCACACAATAAAATTAATTACAGTAATCATATAACAATAAAGTCACCTAAACAAAATCCAATAAGCAATTTTATATATCTTTTACAAGCAGAATAATTTTTCTTTCATTATAATATTCAAGTAATTTTTAAAAGAATAATTTCAAAGAATTTGTTTACGTACTTTGGAAATATATTCGGTTTTTGCCTGTGGATGTACTTTTTTCAATTGTCTATTTAACTGAGATTTATATTTAAACGTTATCTTACAAACATCACATGTAAACGATCGTACTTTTTCATGAGATATCAGATGCGTTGATATAGCGGATAACCAACGAAAACTTTTATTGCATTTATCAATAAAAGTTTTATCATATGATTTATAAGTTACATTAATTATTTATTAGACATTAGAAAAGAAAATTGAAATATTAATATTTTAAAAATAACTATAAATTTTAATATATCTTGTAAATTCATTTTATTTTGTATATATTTTCGACGCTTATTGAAAAAGAAGTTATTTGAAAAATAATAATAACGATTTTTACGTATGAAATATAAGAAGTATATTTTTGATATTTCACGTTAAATTACCAGTTAAATTACAGTTTACACTTTGTATATATAACTCGGCATGTGAAGCATCTGTAATACTATTCTTGTAAAAAGACTTGCTAACTTCTATGTGTCAACCAATTGATGTTAGTACATAGTATTATCCACGTTATTACTATGTATGTTTGTAAATCAACAAATGTACTTAATTATCAAGAATTGTCATGTAAAATCAAAACAAATACTTGCAATTTTGCAACGATACGGTACTGTTATTTTATGTCTGTAAAATAACTAACAAATATATTATAATTCCTAATTATGCATTTGCAAGATCAGATAATGTAACCTTGTTACATTAATAAATCTAAATGAATGAATGAAAATGTAAATTACCAGTTTTATCTATAATAATTATATTTGTTATATAATTTATTATACAGTAGACCCCCTATAAAACGGGTCCATATATTGCGGATTCGTATATAACGGCGATAAAATTACGTCCGTATTTATATAAACACGCTAAAAGAAACTCGTAAAATACGGTAAAACGTCATCGCCGACTCGTGTCGCGACAGGATTGGTCGAATCTAGACCAATAGCGGATATTGCACAAACCGTTGAGTATAAACGAGCAGCGGACCTACTAAAAACCATTTATTGTTTAATGGCCATAAAAATTATGTTTATATTAATGATGTCTCCAAGTTCAGCGAACTTTTCGCAGAAAAATAACTTATCAGGAAACACGCGCCCGCCGTTCGATGCACCGCTCCACGACGAAAACAAGCTTAAGCAATGGCGTCGTCGAATGGTGCACAATCGGTAAGTAATCTTACAATTTTTTGTTTATTGCATAGTCTATATGGATTATTCCCCAAAAAATATACGTGTTTTGGACATGTTGAGTAAAATTAGTCTAGAATCGCTTAATTTTATGGAAGAAAACCTTTCAAACGGCCGTAGTACGTAAACTGCATACGTGTCGGGCTGTGATTGGCTCATGTATTTAAGAACTTGTAAAACATGAATTTCATAAAAAACGGAACGTATCTACCGTGTTATGAGGAAAGTCGACTAGTACTTTCATTCAATAAATTTGTTATCGACTTAAATACAAATATGAACATAAACATAATTCTTACAATCATTATTTCAGAAGCATTTGCATCTGGATGTAGTCGTTTGACATGCTTCATCTCATGCTTATCTCTCCTTTTCGCATCGTATCCGCAGACTTTGCATTTAAATGGTCGTTCTTTCGAATGTAATCTTTTATGTGTTTTTAAACTTCCATCCTGGGTGAATCGTTCTTCGCAAATATCGCAAACATATGGTTTTTCTCGAGTATGAACCCTCATGTGATTTTCTAATTGCCGTTTCCTTTGAAATTTCTTTTTACATATTGTGCATTCATGTTTTTTTTCTTCATCCTTTTCAAAAATTATTCGTTGTGAAAATTATAAATTATTAACTTAAAAATTAAATTACTGTGAAAGTTAAAAATTATTAATTGAAAATTATTAACTCATTAATTTTTTCAAAAACTTTTTCTATTTATATCAAAACTAGCAGGTGGACCCGGCGTTGCTCGGGCAAAAGTAACGATAACTAAGATAAAGATTATTACGTTACAGTCAACCTTACCCGTTTTCACAGAATGCAAGAATTGGGTCCCCTTGTTTCCAGACTAATTAGAGAATTTTTAGATGGGTCTAAAAATATGTTCGATTTCCCGCAAAAACGAAAAAAAACTGCATCTGCGTATTGCACGTCGCTTTCTCTTAACAATTCCATTGTTACGTAACATTTCCATTGTTGACACTTTTATGGTTACTTAAAACTTTTATTGTTACTTAACACTTCCATTGTTGATGGAAGTGTTCAGCCTTAATCCTGTCCCTCTCCCCCGTGGGGAGAAATTTCGAAAAATCCCTTCTTAGTGTGCGTTCTCCTAACGTACCTTAACTATGTACCAAATTTCAACTTTCAACTCCTAACCGTTTGGGCTCGTATCCATAATGTATATAGAAATTTTAATCTTGTCTCTCTCCCCCCGGGGGGAATTTCGAAAAATCCCTTCTTAGTATGCGTTTTCATGACGTACCCTATCTGTGTACCAAATTTCAACTTTCAACTCCTAACCGTTTGGGCTCTGCGCTTATAATTATTATTATTATTATCATCAACCCGTCTCGATTATATATTAGACATATAGTAAATTTTTTGCATTTTTGGATAAGAATTAAAATTTCAACAATTTCCTATTGATGGAATCGACAAATATAAGCAATGTCTAAAACAAATTCAGCTTTTTACTTAAGTTTTGTGATTTCATTTAAAAAACAATATTCTACATTTTAAAATTTAGTTTGTAAATTTCGAAAGAATAAAAAATTAATAATGCACTCCAATAATGTAAAATTTGGCAATTGTTCTCTCAGACTGATAGATTGTACTTATTTGTGAGTTTTAGAAAACAAAAAAGAAAATACCGGCTTAAATTGTTTCTTAGTAATTGTAAAATTCAAAAAGAAAGAAATGCATTGAAGCCTTCGTTCCGAATTAATTCCATAAATTATTTTCTAAATATTTCTAGTATGTTATGATGTATAAATTAAATAAAATGAATTTATTAAAATGTTGAACGCAAAAAACGTAGAGTACGCTCTAAATTAATGTGATTTATTTCTTAACAGCGTTAAGGGATTAAAAAAACTTATATTTTTACTCTAACGATTTAAAGTGAGTAGTTATGCTTATTTTCTCGTTTCCAACTTTCAGCGAGATACGTTTTTCAATTAATTTAACTCAGAGCACACGATGCTACTTGCAGTTATTTGAAAAAATATTAAACGCTTTATCTGCATTAAGATAGTTTTACTGTGTTGAAGTTGGTACTACTTTTAATGTTAATAATCTTTCAATAAGAAATTTGAATAAAATTTTCTAAATTAAATAACTTATAATAATTCCATAAGAAATCTGTAAATAATGATTGAAAAATAAAGCTCAGCAAAAATATCTAAATAAATAGAATTTTTCAATGTTGTGACATAAGAATAGTGAAAGCAAATTTTACAGTAAGACTTAAGATGTGAATAAAATGCACATTACGCAGACTACAACTGAAAGAAGTTTTGGAAGAAGCAGTCATCATAATAATAAATCGGAAAAATTAGCATCGTCGCGTAAAAACACTTTCAGTTTTACTTCGTGCTTGAAACTTCATATGTCAAAACTATAGTCAGTGTAGTCGTGGGTTCCGGCATGGTCAACAGCCTGGACACGTGGAGATTTCTAAGTTTTTATCACATCAGTAATACAGACAAAGTCCAGCTTTCCATTAAAGTGTTCTCGGAATATTTTGTTTTCTAGAACAAAATATATCGTATGTCGTCTTCGAGAGTGCCCAGTTTAAAAATTTTGTTTGTTTTTTCGAAATTTGATCGTTGGCAGATTACTGTTTGATATGATTGATATGTGTCAACAAATGACACAGTTTCTCAAAGTTAACATTAAGAAAAAATATGAAATCTTAAAAAAAATGTAAAATATATTTTTAGTTGGTGTCTGAATATTGTCTGAATATATTGTCAGTTGGTGTCAGTCAGTGTATATATAATGTGAAATGGTACGAAATGGTACGAAATGGCAAATTTCATAAGTCAATGAAACTTGCCATTTCGTACCATTTCAGTTTTGCCATAAACGCGATAACGTTAGGCTGAAATAACCAAACTTTATATCGTTTTCATTTTATCGTTCGTAATATTATAGTATTATATTTATAAATCTAAAAAAGTTGTCTTAACTAAGGGTTTATCACACCGAATAACCAATCTAACTCATTTTAAAATTTCTTTATACCTGTACTGTACACAATTTAATTTTTTTTTTAAAAACTAGGCTAGATTGAGCACTTGGTGTGATAAATTCCTACTTAAGATAACCTTTGTAAANATATACAGGCGGTTTTTTGCGCTTTTGCGGGAAATCGAACATATTTTTATGCTCATGTCAAAAATTCTCTAAAAACGTCTGGAGACGGGAGACCTAATTCTTGCATTTTGTGAAAACGGGTAAGATTAGCTATAATGTAATTATCTTAATCTTCACTATCGTTACTTTTTGCCCACAAATATAAACCCAGCGAAGCGGGTTCTTGCAGCTAGAATATTTTAACTGAAAATCGAATTATTATAAGTTTTACGTCTCATTTACGTCAAAAGTTACGTGAGTGACGTTGATTGCCGCAAAAGTGACGTAAATTATGTTTATTATTGTCAAAATAACGTAATTGACGTTCATAACTGCCAAAGTAACGTAATTTATGCTTATAAACGCCAATATAACGAAATTGACGCCAATAGTTGCCAAGGTGACGTATATAACATATATAGCCGCCTAAGTGACGTAAGTGACGTTTATAATTGTTAAAGTCACGTAAGTTACGCCTATAGCCGTAAAAGTAATGTAAGTGACGCTGATAGCAGCTAAAATGACGTAAGTTACGCTTATAAACGCAAAAAAACGTAATTTATGTTTATTGTAGCCAAAATAACGTAATTCACGTTTATCGCCGCCAGAAATACGTAATTTATGTTTATTCTTGCCAAAATGACGTATTTTACGTATATGACAGCAAAAGTAACATAAGTGACGCTTATAACAAAAAAACTTACGTAAGTTAAGTATATGGGTGCCAATATGACGTAATTGACGCCAATTGTTTCTAAACTAACGTAAATAACACCTATTACTGCCAATGTGACGTAATTGACGCTTATAACCGCAAAAGTTACGTGAGTGACGTTGTTCGCCGCCAAAGTGATGTAAATTATGTTTATTGTTGCCAAAATAAATTAATTGACGTTCATAACTGCCAAAGTAACGTAATTTATGCTTATAACCTCCAATATAACGAAATTGTAGCCAAAATGACGTAATTCACGTTTATCGCCGCCAGAAATACGTAATTTATGTTTATTCTTGCCTAAATGACGTAATTAACGTTTATAACCGCCAAAATGACGAAATGTACGCCGATGGCAGCCAAAGTGACGTGAGTGACGCCGATAACCGAAAAGACGTACGTAAGTGACGTTTATAGCTGCCAATATGACTTAATTGACGCCAATTGCAGCCAAACTAACGTAAATCACATATATTGCCGCCAATGTGACGTAACAAACGCTTGTAATCGCCAAGATGACGTAACTAACGACAATGGCCGCATAAATAACGTAGTTTACGCTTATAACCGAAAAACTAACGTAATTGACGCCAATGGTGTTTAAAGTGACGTATATAACATATATGGCCACCAAAGTGATGTTATAAACGGTTATGGCCGCCAAAGTGACGTGAGTGACGCCTATTAGAGAAAAAACTAACGTAAGTGACGTTTATGGCTGCCAAAATGACGTAATTGACGCTTATAGCCTCCAAAGTTACGTAAATAACGCCTATTGTCGTTTAAGTGATGTAATTTATATTTATTTTTTGCTAAAATCACGTAATAGACGTTTATAACAGCCAAAGTGACGTAGTTTACGCTTATAACCGCCAAAGTAACGTAATTGACGCCAAGGGTGTTCAAAGTGACGTATACAACATATATAACCGCCAAAGTAACGTTATAAACGCTTATGGCCGGCAAAGTGACGTGAGTGACGCCTATAAGCGAAAAAAACTTACGTAAGTGACGTTCATGGCTGTTAAAATGACGTAATTGACGCCAATTGTCGCCAAATAAACTTAAATCACAACTATTGCCGCCAATGTGACGTAACATACGCTTCAATGGCCGACTATAACCGCAAAAGTGACGTAATTGACGCTAATGACCGCCAAAGTAACGTAAGTGACGTTTATTGCCGCTAAAGTGACGTAATTCATGTTTATTCTTGCAAAAATGACGTAATCGACGTAATTATAATTTCCAAAATGACGTAATTCACGCCTATAACAGCAGAAGAAACGTAAGTTATGCCTATGACCAAAAAAACATACGTAAGTGACGTTTATGGCTGCCAATATGACGTAATTTACGCCAATTGTTGCCAAACTAACGTAAATAACACCTATTGCTGCCAATGTGACGTAACAAACGCTTTTAATCGCCAAAATAACGTAAGTATATACAATAACTGCATAAGTGACGTAATTGACGCTTATCGCCGCAAAAGTTACGTGAGTTACGTTGAGTGCCGCCAAAGTGACGTAAATAATGTCTATTGTTGCCAAAATAACATAATTGACGTTTATAACTGCCAAAGTAACGGAATTAATACGTATGGCCGCCAATATAACGAAATTGACGCCAATAGTTGCCAAAGTAACGTACATAACATATATA